AGCCCAGGCACTGCGGGCCAAGCTGAGGGCAGGGGGAGCCTGTGCTCCGGAACGCGGTGGGACACATGCTGAGCAGAGACTGCTCGGTGAGCTAGCGAGGGAGCCCTCACCCGGGCTCGGGCTCGGGGGAACACAGGAGGGACAGCAAGTGTCAGAAGACGTGGAGCTACGACGCAGGCGAATAAACAGCTGAGAACAAAGGGTGAAACAATCCTGGATGTCACTCCAGAACAGCCCTGGAAGCAGAAAACCCCTAGATAAATGGAAAACCAACACAATGAACTGACTGAAGTGCTGCCCTGGGTGTGCTGTCAGGTCTGTCTGGGGACAAACCCACTGCTCACCAGCAGCATCTCGGTGGGCATCAGTCACCGTGTCCCTGCTCTCAGCCTCAGCTCAGGTACCTCCTGCAGGGTGGGAGCAAAGGCACAGCCACAGCACAGCAATGCTCCCATGGCCACACATCACAGCACTTTGCAGCTGGGGCTGTCGAGCTTTTGAGGGAAACACGATGTGATGAACCTTGCTGAGCCCTGTCAGAGCACAAACTCTGCATACCTGCTCCTGCAGCAGGCAACGAGCTGCCCCCTGCCCCCGTGGCCTCAGTAGTTGACAGCTTTAACCTGTGACTCCTTTTGTGTGCAGACCTGTGAGGAACCCGCAGACACACAGTGCAGGCCTCACACACCTCACCCAGTCCAGCTCTGCACTCAAGTGTGCTTGAGGAGCACGTTGAACATTCAGTATGTACAAGATGATTTGAAGCTGGAACATAAGAGCAGCTGATTCACCCTCACACATCCATGTGGCTGAGAGCGACCTGAGGACCCGCGGGATCCTGCAGTGGCTGAAGAGGTGACCCAGTGGTATGTACATGTCCTTGGGAGGGTTCACCAGGCTGGCTGAGGCCAGGCTGGGGCACCTCTGCTCTGCCCATAGACTGAGCCACAGGAACAGCAGAGTGCAGCTCCTCCTGACCACTCAGCCCTTCCTCCAGCTTCCCACAGAGCCCCCGATGTCGAATGACTGCTGAGATCACACGGCTATGCACACGCTCTAGTCACAAGCAGCACAGAAAGCTGCTGTCCTGGTGCCTATTCCCACAGCATCCACAGCTCTCAAGAACAGTCACTGCAAATCCCTCGGGACTCCTCCTCCAGCCGAGACTCTGCAGAAGGTTCTCTGCCTCCGGATCACTTCTCCCGCAGGACGCAGACTCCTGCGTCGCAGCGCTGCATGCCCAGGGAGGTGACAACTTCCCAGCTGTCGATGATGGGGTCGTAGCACTCGATGCTGCTCAGCAGTGAGTTCCCATCGTATCTGCAAGGACAGAAAGTTACAGGTGAGGGATGGTGCTGGAGAAACAGGCTGAGGCATTCAGAGCCCTTGCTGGGAGGCTGGACAGCTGCACACAGCAGGACTGGCCTGACATGGAGCCCCTGCATCAGCTCCCCATGCGGTGTGCTGCTGCTCTCCTGCCTCCCTGGGCCCTGGACCTTCACACTGCCCTTTCTGGCTGGGCACAGTGGCCCTGTGGGCTGTCTTCTCTTACAGACAGTGTGAGGAGAGGCTGCCTGAGGTGTGTCAGAGCTGTGGGAGCTCAGCCCCCGAGCTGCTGTGCAGCGCTCACCCCGCGATGGCGTACAGCCGGCCCCGCAGCACCGTGGCCCCCACGTAGCATCGCGGGGTGGTCATGCTCGTCACGGTGGTCCAGGAGTCAGTGCGGATGTTGTATGCCTCCACCGAGGAGAGATGTGCTGTTCCATCGAACCCCCCAACGACATAGATGTGATCATTGAGCAGAGCCACTCCAGCCCCTGTGGAGAGAGAGGGTGGCACAGTCACACCCAGAGTAGCACTGCGCCCCTGCTTGCTGTTACTAGGCTGAACGGGTCAGCTCCTCCCCCTGCACAGGACATTTTCTTCTGCTCATATCTGCCCCAAAAGAGCTGATAACTGTGTCTTCTGTTGTCTCCAATATGATACATGAGAACATGTCACTGACTCTGGCATGGGGGGACTGGGCAGCATAGCAGCACAACAGGTTCACCTGTGCTGACAGACACCTGACACAGGCGTCTGAACAGAGCAACACCAGCCTCACTCTGCTGGCAGGGAGCTGGTTGGGACTGTCAGCACAGAGACAAGTTCCTCTGGTGTTTATGGCTCCCTGGTGTCACCCAGCCCTAGCCATAGCCTGGAGAGTGGCACTGCTCCATATGAAGCTGGAGGATTCATAGAAACATAGAATGCTAAAAGGTTGTAATGGAGCTTAAAGATCATCCAGCCCCAACCCTCCAGTCCTCTCATCAGTTCCATGTCCTCCTCTGCATTTGCTCTAACAGTTCCCTGATGTTGCTCCTCTGGAAGGCAGGGAAATGAAAACTGGTTCCTACATGGCACAGAGGCAGAGGTGGTCAGAGCATCTGTCTGAACAGCTGTTCCCCCGGTTACAGCAACCAGTAATACAGCAGGCCTGACTGGGGATTTGTGACATCAG